CTACCCCTGACGTAGTGGCTGCCAGAAGCTGAGAAGTATCTGGTTGAGTCCTTATAGCCAGATGCATAATGACAATGTCATCCTCTGGGGACCTGTAGAGAACCCCTGGGAGGCCCTGGAGGATATCTTTTTTGGCATGCATCCAGTTACATTGACACAGCCACTTCTCAGTCAGTTCCAGCCACTACATGGCTGTGTTGGAAAGAGCATAGGAATAGGTTGAGTAGGAGGGGAGAGCAAAAATGGAATGGATTTCCACTTAGACAGGGCTTTATCCTCTTTCATCTTATCAAAATCTTGGCCTTGGCACAAGGATGTGACAATCAAAATAAGCATGTCCCTTCCTAATTTCAAGATGTCTCCAAGCTCTTCCCTATTTCCCTCTACCACAGGCCTCCTTTCACTGTTTTAATTTGTCTGCAAGAATGATTTCTTAATCTATTTCTTAATATTTCTTAACCATTCCACCATGAGTGTCTTCCTGGATGGCTGAGAACAAGTATATGTCTGCGGAGACAAGAGATGTCTCATTTGCACTTTGTGAATTTAAAGCATGAAGGCTTTTTTTTTTAAATTAACCAAAATTCTGAAGAAGAGATTTATTCTTTATTCTTAAGGTTTTTGTTGTATACCTTCAGGTTGTCCCTGATTTATGGTGTCTCTAGGGCCGTAATGTCAAACCTACGGTACGTGTGCCAGAGATAGTATGTGAAGCCATTTCCCCTGGCACACAGAGGGTGGGGAGGAGGAGGGAGAGGCATGCACTTGTTCCTTCTTCTTCCCAGTTGTCCCAAATCTTTAGCTGCCTCTTTGGAGGCAGCTGAAGGCTGGGGACAGTATAGGGGGAGGAGGAAGACGCATGCACCTCTTCCTCTTTTTTCCCAACCTTCTCTGGCCTCCAGCTGCCTCTCCAGAGGCAGCTGAAGGCTGGGAATGGCATGAGGGAAGGAGGAGGAACAGGTACATCCCTGTTCCTCTTCTTCCCTCTTCAAACCCCGGGCCTTCAGCTGTCTCTGGAGAGGCAGCTGAAAGTCTCGGAGGGTGGAGGGCAGATGTCCCACCCCCAGCACTGGGTAACACCCAGTGCTTGAAGGCCTTTTAGTTTGGGCACTTAGCCCCTAAAAGGTTTGCCATCACTGCCCTGGGGTGAACATATCATGGGGTTTTCTTTGCAAAATCTGCTCAGAGGAGGTTTGCCATTGACTTCCCCTGAGTCTCTGAGAATGTGACTAGCCCAGGGTCACCCAGTGGGTTTGATGGCCAAGCAGGGAATCGAATCCTGGTCTCCAGAATCATAGTCCAATGTTCAAACCACTACACTAGGCTGGCTATTTACACTCTTAGTACCAGAGGACAAACTCGAAGAATGTTACAGGAAAAAAATATTACATAAAGTATGTCCACATAAATTAGCAAAACAATGAATTACTCAACCTGGCTTATTTTTCTCTGAATATTGGCTCTGTGGAATGACCAGACAGGGCTCAGAAATCTTACAAAAACCACTAAAATAGTCTAAGATGGCACAAAGAACATAATTTCTAGGGCAGACCATCCATGTAAAGGAACCAGAGTAGGCTAGGCTGAAAATATTTGTTACTTGAAGCAGAGCAGCAAATGACACCCCCACCATTCATTCAGTTCAAGGCACCTAGTATCCAAAGCCAGTCAAGTTATTCAGGCTCCTAAGGCAGAAAATCCCACAAACATCCTTCTGTGGCAATAGAAACTGAATAATAAATAATAGTTTGTTGTACTTTCTTGACTCCCCTAATCTAATGACAGGGCTAGCTCTGTGTGTAGAGTCAATCTTCTAAACCCATCTCTTTCACACACTAAAGGTAGAGCTCTTTTCACAACCACTCCTGCCTTTTTAAAATTTAATTTAATTTTTAGAAGCAAACTCCCCACCTTTGCAAATAGATCAAATAGATCAAAGAAGCCAATAAAATCAGGCAAGGCATTAATGACATCATGCACTCAAGCTGGGTTACCACATCTTCTTTCGGTAACAAAGATGTTAAACATTGTAATTGTCTATAGGATGGTGGAGAGAAGCTGGTCAGATAGCATACACAAACTGACTTCCTACATGGGTTTGGTCAGATAAAAGATGCGTCAGCCAGAATCAGACAAAGGAAGGGGTGGATAATAAAATATACACATATCTGACTAATTTTGTAATCTTCTCCCTGATAAAAGTTTGGTGATTTTTAAAATTGCCCCCAGTCCAGTCCAGAGCTTGGAAAAATTAGCTTTGTGACTATAGCTCCTAGAAAGCCTGTAGCCAGTTGCAATATGAAAAAGTAACTTTTCCAAACTCTGATCTGTGAACATTCACAGATAGCATGTACTCAGGTTTTTCACACTCAATGAAATGGATTATTGGTCCAGTATTTTATATAGTAGGTACTGACTCTTCTCTATTAATTCTGCAGTATCTACACAGCAACCTGTCATCACCCTGAAACAACACAGCAATAACAATTATTATATATGTAGTTGTCATCATTAAAATATTTCTACCTTGTCCGTTAGCGAATTATCTTAAGCTGGTTTACAACTTAAACCATACATTTTCACCATCATGAACTCATGGCTAGTGGTTTTTCCATGTCTGTCTTTATTAATTTCAGTTTTCTGGGGATGATGGTTGCCATTTAGTCTGCTGCAGCAAAACATTATTTTAATTTGTAAACCTCAAAGAAAAATGAGACACATCTCTTAATGCTAGAAAGATGACTTTTATTTTCTAAAAAGGCCTTTTTAGATGGGCTTTTTTTTAGAAAATAAAAACCATTGTTTTAGCATGGAATTTCTAGAAAATGAAGGCTATCTTTTTTGCATACTGAAACCTATCTTTTTTTTTAAAGCTCTTATTGATATTAGGGTAGAAAGTAGGACATTGATGATGATGATGATGATGATGATAATGTGGCATCTTAAAGGCTAACAAGTTTTATCTGGCCTAAATGCTTTTGTGGCACTTTCCATACTACCAACTTCTATTCTGCACCAGGTTTTTGGTCCTAAGCTTCACCAACTGAGCAGCAAATCTTAAAAACCTATGCCAAATATTATTAAGCTTTAAGGTGCCACAGGACCCATGAAACTGCTTTTCTTAGTTTTGTTTTGGGCAGCTGTTCCCTAATAATTTGGTTCTGGGTGTGGAAAATCCAAAATGAGTATTTTCATTTAAATAGCTCACGGTTTACACTTAATGTTCTTTGTTTGTGTGTGTGCCTTCAAGTCACTTGTAAATTTATGGTGACCCCATGAATTTCATAGAATTTTCTTAGGCAAGGAATCCTCAGAGGTGGTTTTGCCAGTTCCTTCCTCAGAAATATAGCCTACATCATCTGGCATTTATTGGTGGTCTCCCATTCAAGTACTAACCGATACACAAGAGAGATCTTGTACACAAGTTGCACTGCCTGAAGTGACTTTCTGTGCCTCCTGTTTAGGGTCCCAATACTTTTTGGTGTTGCTCCCCTCTCACACACACTGCTGGTTTTGACACACACCCAAATGCTGGTTTGACATAATACCCAAGAGAGAATGCTGTTCTTGACAAGAAAAAAAATCTCTGCACCTCTGCTGTAGGAGGTTTCATTTGAGCAAACCTTTCAATTGAAAAAAGTGAAGCACTATACACTTCAAAGTATCTTGTTAAAGTCTTTGCTGAAACAACAGTGAAAGTTGCAGCTTCCTCTAAGCAATCTGTCCAGGACAGCTTCCACTGGATGTTTTTTCTTTGCTTCTAGATTTGCCAATATTATTCATAGCCATAGAAACATTCTGACAAGCTGAAATTTGAGAGGAAGGTTTTGTCTAGGACAAGTGTGTACAAATATAGGATACGTGCCTCCTCCAATGTGCTTTCTTGGCTCCAGGGAACAGCATTGTTTCATATCAATAGTCCAAAACTCACACTACACCTTGGTGGGGATTAATTACACATATTATGCCTCAGGTCTACCAAATTTATAAGCAACTTTTAATTGCAGCATCCAAGAGAAACCCAGAGTCCTGTTTTGAAACTATACCTAACACCAAAATCACTTCTACCTATTTTAGCATAATCCTGCAGCCTGCAGGTAAGTCTCATTGATATGAATGGAACTGAGCTCTGTTGTTTTGATAATCTGTAAATGACAGTTTGGGAAAGCTAAATCTGTATAATGAGGTAAAATGTTTAGACTGTGGCATGTCATGTAAAAGTGTGCAGACTCTGAATGGCAGGGAAATAACCATGCCTAAGGGAGTATTCTCAAATGACCTGAAAATTGATTTAATTCTCACCTTGTCATCTCAGTCTTATCTGCCGGTTTCCATTGGCAGTTGTTTGCAATGGAGGCTTCTCTTACTGTAAAAGGTCAACACACTTCCAACTAGTGTGGTAAAAGGATGTGCTCCCACACTTACTTAATTTGAAAAGCATACTCTGCATAGTAATCATATGGAAAAATAATGTAAGAAGAGTTGCAATGGATCAGACCAAAGGCCTACCTAGTTTAGCATTCTGTTCCCTCAGCAGTCAACCAGTAGCCTATAAGAAGTTGACAAGCAAGACATGAATATTATCATTTCTCTCTCCTGGCCACTGATTGTCAGTGGTGGTGGTGGTGGGGATTAAAAACATTTTTTTTATTACAACTCCCAGAACATTGAGCCAGCTGGATCACTAATCAGGCTAGTTGAAGGATTCTGGGAATCTGGGCTTTAATTTGTATTAAGAGGCAAATTCCCTGATAAGTAATATATAGGCATAATTAAAGCCTACCATGAGTTTCTGTTAAATCCACTGTCAAAACTGCCTATGAAACCAGATTCCCAGGGTGCTCAAGATACAAAATGCACCTATTTATAGGCCACACACATATATGCAAAAGCAACATGAGTCTGAAATACAATGATAAATCCGCCCTGCTCCATAGCTTTCCACCTATTCCGTTTTACCATCACTTGTGAAATCCCTTTTGAAGAGAAATTATATTTCCTTGAAGTAACAGGGTAAATGGTAGTTTGTATGTGTATTTGTGTGTGTCCCCATTCCTTGTTTGTGGATACATGTCACGGTTCATGACAAAGACGTGTGTGCATTTGGAATCTTTACCATCTCTTTTCCTAAGGCATCAGCTTGAAAATAATAATAATAAAAAACCTGGTTAAGGAAGCTTGAACTAAGATGTCAACAAATTGTCCCTGTTTGATTCATTCCCTGTTACTTACCATCTTTTTGACTGCAAGAGTCACTGGCTTTTGATTTATTATGTGAGCTGAGAGAGATAAGATTTGCTTGGCCTGCACATGCTGGCTATATGTCAAGGCAACAGCAGCACAGGCTGGACAAGCAACCCAGGAGGCCCCAGATCACGAGGAAACCACGTTTCCTGCTGGAGGTGGCCTGATTTGCTTGCAAAATGCTAAGCCCAGAGGATGCTTCCATGAGATCACAGCTCCGTCTGCTGGAGGATTGTTGTGTTCCTGGGATGACCAAAAATTGCAGAACCAACATGCAAAAAGCTGGGGATGAAGAGGAAGCCAAGCATACATGGGCATCTGTTAGAATTTTTCTACAGAAGGGAGTTGGGGAGGCAATGGTCCAAGATGTTATGCAACTTGGGTGTCAGGCATTGCCCCTCAAATAACAATGCTGCTCCACAAATAAAATTTCCCTTCTCTAAAAGATTGTTTACACCTTGTTGTTGTTGTTTTTGTTGTTGCGTGCCTTCAATCATTTCCAACTTATAGCAACCCTAGGGTGAACCTATCATGGGGTTTTCTTGGCAAAATTTGTTCAGAGGAGGTTTGTCATTGCCTTCCACGGAGTTTGAGGGCATGTGACTTGCCAAAGGTCACTCAGTGGGTTTCATGGCCAAGCTGGGAATCAAACCCTGGTCTGCAGAACTGTTGTTGTTATGTGCCTCCAAGTCATTTTTTGACTTATGGCGACTGTAAGGCGAATCTTTCATGGGGTTTTCTTGGCAAGATTTGTTCAGAGGAGGCTGACATGGGATTGAAACCCTGGTCAGAGTTGTAGTCCAGCACTCAAACCACTACATCACTCTGGCTCTCTTGCTCACACCTAGAACTCCTTATATTTGCTGCATCTGGATTAACTTGGGAACTATGCCTGTGCCTTTGCTTTGGATGTTCAAACTATATTTCTAAATGATCAACTGAAGTTTTAAGTTACTGCAATGTTAGAAATTTGGGGACCAAAGAGAAATTTTATTGAAGAGGCAGAATTTGTATTTGATCCTTATTTTGCTCCTCCTCCTACCTAAAACCCTAGTGGGGTTGCCAGACTGAAAACTGGAGACAGC